TCGCCGGTGAAATACCGGTGGGCAGCCGTCCACTGCCACTGTATCGCCGGCAGAACCAGGAAGTAGTGGCGTACATGACTAAATACACTCTTGCATACTCACCGGTTTTTTACCGACCATTCCAGTCTCGAATGCTCGGTGAAATTATAGTTACTACGCATTAACTTCGTTTTGGTAGTGCGTGCTAATTATGACAACAAAGCTACTGATTGTTTGACCGATAAAAATCCGGTGAGTGTGCAAGCATCCACTACCAATAAAATATCGGCCGATTTTATACTGGCCGTCCAAACTCGGTGTGTGTGCAACTAGCGTAACGCTAGTTGTTGGCTGTATCGATTGTACAATATTTCCACCCAATGTCGATGATGCTGAACATCCCGAACATATTTATGTTAATCGCAAAGGCTACCGCTCCATTAATGTTTAACTGGTAAGTCTACTTCTACGTTAGTGATTGCATATTCTGTTATGCCTTCTTTTAAATTAATTTAGCAAAAAAGTAAAGACTTACCCCGTTACTACGGGGTAAGAAATCATATTGAAGAAAAGAGAATTGAAACTTTCTATGTTTTTTACCACTTTTATTTGTAACTAACGTTACTGCAGTTCCATCCTATAAGGACATTTCCAAACTTAACATTGAAAGTTTCAATTCCCTTTTCTTAACTATAATTTTTTTTTTTTCAGATATGCAACAGTAAACTGAAAATTATCAATGTCAATGCACGATACCCAGGAAGCACACATGATGCATTCATTTGGGCCAATTCCAATATCTTGGAGGTGTTTACAAATCTTTCTGCTTTAGGTCATACAAACTGCTATTTGTTAGGTAGGTAGGTTGGTTAGGTAGGTATTAAATATATCTGTAATGAATTAATAGGTACATAGATACTGGTTATCCACTGAGGACATGGCTCTTAACACCCCTTGAAAATGAACCACCTGAAGGTACACCAGAGCATAATTGTGAAAAAGTCCACAAACAAACCAGCAGTATGAAAGATTTAATGGGGTATTGAAAATGAGATTCAGATGTTTATTTAAGCATAGAGCTTTGCATTATAAACCAGCCGTGGTATGCAGGATAATAAACTTGGTGTTGTACTTCACGATATGTGTATAGAGTATAACATCCCAATGCCTGAGAATGACAATGAAGATATACAAAATATTGACTTTGGAATTATTCTCAATGGAAATTCTGCAAACCATGAAAATAATGATGGGCACAATCCAGTGAGGCGCATTAATCCCCAGCTAGATGCAGGAAGGAGAGCCAGGCAGCGTCTAATAGATAATTATTTTCGAAATGATT